TTGTTTTTGGGACCTCTATTGTGAAAAGTTTTTTTCCACTGGAAAAATGCACATGGAATCTCCCTTTACTTAGCTCCTGAGGCCAATGAAAGCTTGGGGCTTCTCTTGAGCTGAAGATCTGAGGCTGCAAAGCAACAGGATTGCTGAGAACAATTACAAAGCACCTGAGAAAGGAAGCTGAATACAATCTATGAAAGGAAAATGAATACTGCACTCAATTACAAAAGATCCCTCACCAGGAATCCAGATTTGTTTTGGTGATAGTTTATTATAGAGGTCCCCCTGTTTGTTTGAGGGGGGGGGGCCTTTACTAATCAGGATCCAACATTACCTATATATAAACCACCTCTAGCTCTTCCAAACTTAATACAGTAAATATACCACCTACACCAGGAAAAATACAAAAAAAAGCAACTTCCACCCACAGTGACATAGATAAAACCCGGAATTTCCATGTTTCTGCGTGCCTTTTTGATCGCCTGGCGCGCCACCTGAAGTGCTTGCCGCTCGGAGGCGCTTAAAGCTCCTGGCGATCGGCCGACGTTGGAACTGGGATAGTCGATACAAAAAGGGTTCTGACCCACCTCTGTTGGGACCTGGTGAGTTGGGTGTCTCTGAGACTTTTGGCAAAAGTATCATGAGAGTTTGGGGATAGCCTTGTCTTTCAAATAGCCTTGTCTCTTTGGGATGTGTTTCTGTGTGACATAAGGGCGGTGCTGGTGATGTAGGAGATTCTGCTGATGGAAACCTTCCACCTGCTTCCTTCCCCATTCCATACCAATAAAAACCGTCCTTTAGTTCTGGAAAACGTCTTCCCTCTCAAGGTGGAGGTGATGTTATTTGTAAAAGCATGTTGGCTTCAGCTTTTCAGGCCAACTTCCACCGCGGTCTGACGGTGTTAAAAAGCCGTTTTCAGGCCACTCGGTCTGACGGTGTGACATGAATGCTTCAGAGCCTTCAGAGCCTTCGGGCTCTAAGACTTCGGGCTCTTCTGGACCCGAAGGATGCAACGCTCTAAGACTTCGGTCTCCGACCGCGAGACCTGTTCGCTGCACAAGGATTGGAGGATGGGTTTTGGCGCTTGGAGCTCTTAAAGTCGGGATCGACAGACCACAAGAGAGTCCCAGGAATTTTGATGTGCATGTTCTGGTCCATGGGTCTATGGCAAGTCTATGGACTCTTAAGTAAAAAGGTCTCCAACATGTCGCGGAGGCTGTGACTGAAACCAACCCCAAGCCGAGCGAAGAGACAGCTGGCGCCAGCTGGTCCCCGCCTTCGGGCGCCATAAGAAGACCTCTTAAGAGCAATACTGAGGGGGCAGTATGCTACGGTAGGTACCATTGCATGAATCTTGATGTAAATCCTACCCCTTCGCTGGTTGATTGTTGTACACTGTGAGGTGAAGAATCTAGTGGACACCAGGCCACTTGGATATGGTGAGATGGGATGTTTTCAGGATGGTCTTGAGGTCCCTCGGCATTGTGTTGCTTTTCTATTTCGGTGATTGAATTGAATGACACAGATGTTTAAAGGACCTTCCTTCATCTGCAGGCTTAGTATGTCCTCCACATTGTGGGACTCCTCCACCCTCAAGATGTTCCGTTGTTCATCTTGCGCGGAACTGTCTGTGTGATTGTTCTTTTTATGATGCTTTCCTGGCTGAACTTTGAGCCTGATCGGCAGAACAAGCAACCATGAATGTGTGTTCAGCCCTTCATTCATGGTCAGCATCTTTTCTTTCATCAGAGGCAACACTTGACGAACGAAAGAGTCTGATCCTCACCTCCGTCTCGGGGACCTCTAAAAAACACTATAAGTGTAAATCTCATGTTCTCAACTTCAGTGACCAAATTCCCAGAGCCCGCCACGAGAACAACGAGGTGCTTCAGCAACCCATCGAGAACATCGTGGAAAAAGCCTAACTTTTAGGATACCAAACATCCAGGGAGAAGGTCAGGAGCCATGATGGGACCTGTTGAGACTCCTTTTCTGAAAGTAGTACCTCTTTGAATGGTTTCTGCATTGTCCCAACTTCCGGCCCTCGCAGGAGGCGATGCTTGGACGTTGCTCGGAAGACACTTGGACGCTTACATGAACTGTAACTTAGACTTCTTGATGGCCCGGTCACTTCCAAAAAGGCGGCTTCCCTTCGATGCCATGGCCCCGCCAATTCCGCCTTTACTCCGTTTTCTCACGTTCGCTTCTATCGGAGGGTCCTGGCGCACAGTCGTCCAGTCCAGCTAGCTTTATTCTGAACAAGTCACCCATTGAGACCTGGTCACAGCCCTTCCCAACCCTCAAGTAAAGACCTGTGAAGTCGGCCCACTGCCCTCGAGTCTATAACACTGCCAGCCCGAAAGCCCTCACGGCAATCAGAAACTAAAAAGCGACTACTGTAGCTCATCCCCACGGAAGCGCATAAACGCAGGAATTCAATGGATACATTCAACATCATTCAACATCATTCAACATATAAGGCGGACACTTAATGTGTTTTCGTTTCTTGTTTTTTGTGGCCTTCTTACTCCGCTTACAATCATTGAAACTTAAAATATTGTTTGTGTCCCTGTCCCTTGGTCCTTTTTTGCTTTCCTTGACAATTCACAAGCTCAGCACTGCTCCGGTCCAACAACCGTAAGTATGTGTTTAATATTCCTTTCAAACACCAAACGTCCCCAACCAACAAACGCTAGAGAGCCACAGAAGCAAAAGCCAACAGCCAAAACCAAGCAAAGCCAAGCCCAAAACCCACCGAGGGGAAACACACATTTAACAAGGTAAAACCATGTTAAACCAAAACAGCAAATATTCCCCCATAGATCATCCACAATACTCACAAAGCTACCCTCTGTGAGACACTGCGACATGAGAGTAATCACCATGATCCACCCCTGGTCACGACAGCATCTCTCTCCGAAGGTCCCTCTCGTGTAACAGGCCTGGAAGAAGGGCCACAAGGCAGCCAATAGAGCCACCATGCAGCCTGAGAGAAGGACCTGCCCAGCGAAGCAATTGTCATATGCCATCTGACATAGGGCTGCACTGATTGTCAGATCGCGCAAGGACCAGAACACCATGATGCTGTAACTATAGTTGCTTTAACATGCGTTTGGATCAGTAACAATCAACTCACTCTTCACCCCGAGGTAGCTGATGAAGTCCGGTGCGCACATCTGCCTGGCGTCGCTTCGGCCGAGCTCGCCGATCCGCTCGCGCACCCAGCTGCGCACCGCTCACGGGAACCGTCGCCTCCGGCCGGTCGAGGTGCTCCTCTACCGTGAGCTGCGTGCCCCACCTCAAGTTGGAGGCCGAGTGAGTTTTGGTTTACGAATGTTGCACCCAAGAACTCTAAGAGGATCGGCAGGCACATGGTCAAAATTGTCATGACAAACCAAACATGGGACAAGGTCAAAACCCCTGCAACTTCGTTGCCTTGCGAAAAAGAAACATCCATTTCAGAGATGTCAACCTATGACCTAGCATGGTTGTGAATTTTGTTCAAGTGTTTGATTGGCTTTGACAGTATTCATACACACACAATCCTTTTGTCCTTTGTCCGGTTTGTCCATATTCCCTCACGATGCAGGTTAATAAGTTATAGTCAGATGATTCGCCACCTTCGGCTAAGGATCATACCGAAACACTTCCTCAGAATGTCGTGCCCTCATGTGATGGGCCCAAGGGGCAATCAACAAACATGCAACCTCACGAAATGAGTCAATGAACCTAGGGCACCCCAGCCCAAATTATCCAGCAGTGTTCCTACACCTTTTTCACCAAACAACACCAAATACAAGATCGACCATATCAAGGAAAAAAATCACCTCTCCCCAAGCTCGCATGGAGCCTCGAGCCGTTTTCAGACTTTCTCCCCCCCTCTCCGGTACAAGTCGGTCGTCGAGTGGAGCCACGGAGGGTCATGGAGTGGAGGTGTGAAATGGGTGGAAGCCGTGGAGTTGCTGGTGTTCGCCTGGCAGGGTTGGAGGCGCGTTCTACAAGGCGAAGCGGACATGGAAACGGACCCATGGTCCGTGTTCACTTTGGTTCGGATCCTATATATCCCTAGGGATCCACCTCCTCAAAAGGTACGACTGGACCCTCCTGGCACCCACCCCAGTCCCACCTTCTCAGAGGGTACTTGGATCCTTATAGGTCTCTCAGCTAGGTCCTTTTTGTACGACAGACCCGACGGGTTCGGTCGAACATGTCGAGAACGATGTGGTGTCGAGCATGTGCGGCCGAAAGGGGTTCTGTAAGGAACAAAAAGGGGTTCTGTGCCAGGATTGGACGACCACTTGGTCACCACTTGGTCACCACCCCTCGATTATCAACCAACCCGCAAGCAAATGCGTAGGTCAGGCTATCTATGGTGGTTTCTCAATCATGTGGAAGGAGAGTGCGATCCTAATCCATGCCGCCAATAAAAAAACATGAGTCAACATGCACTCCGAGTTGAAAGAAGTTGGATCAATAGTTGGCAAACAAAAATTGCAGAATGTGTCATATTCCGAAGATTGCCGAATTGCAGACTGCGGCTCACACTGTGGTTCTGTGTATTTGGAGAAATGCATCAAGGTTGAGGATCTTAGATCCTTCTTCCTGCATCACCAACGCCACACCGATCCAACATGATGGGCCGGACAACGCGGCCACCAAAACGAAGAAAGCCACGGAGAGTCGAAGAAAACGTGGGTCCAAACGAACACAACGAACACCGACTGGCTGACCGGTCATGGCACCCGGTTGACCGACCAGTTGACCTACATGATGTCGCGGCAACAAGCTGGCAACCATGGTAGACTGGTCGGGCGAACATGGTGGGTCACGACCCATCCCAAGCAGCCAAAGACACCCTAGGCCTCCAGTCGTACCGAACCTGAGGTTCGGTGGGACTGGGGTGGGTGCCAGGAGGGTCCAGTCATACCTTCTGCGGAGGTACGACTGGAGGTGTAGGGGCATGCCGACCAAAGCCCGGCCTGAAGCCCCAGGGCACAAAGCTTTGTCTCACCGAAGGGATTGTGCACCTCGGCGCGATCCAAAGAAGGATGACCACCACAGCCACAACCACAACCACAACCACAACAACAACAACAACCACAACAACCACAACAACAACAACAACAACCACAACAACCACAACAACAACCACAACAACAACCACAACAACAACCACAACCACAACAACAACAACAACAACAACAACGTCGTTGACAACAACCACAACCACAACCACCCCCCAGCGACGCCTCTGTTAGCCCGCCGTTGGGCGTCAGCTCCTCAATTATAAACAACAACACCAGTGCGTTTGAAGGCATTAACAACAAAAACAAACACACACTCCCGGCACCTTGGCTTGAGCTCATTGCAGTGGAGCCCGATTTTTTTTTGGGATTCATGTATATTGCTGACCGGCGAACAACTATATAAATGTATCTCCTTTGGTCTCCTCTTCCACTGCTTGGAAGGCCAAATGTCTTATTCCTTGCCACCCCCCCGCCCCGCACCCCCGCACACAGCACCTCCGGTGGAATTGCCAAGGGCAAGTAGCAGTAGTTCCTGGTGTGCTGCATCCGACGATCTCTGATGAGCCCATGCCAAAATGTCACCCATCTCAACTGGTGTGTCTTGAAGCAATGCGAGAATGAAGGTACGATTCGACCTGATTCCACCTCAGGAGTAGAAAAAACAGGTGCCCACAAGGATCCCTGTCGGGTCGGTAGCTTCGACGTGCACCACCACTGGGATGTACGTGGGATCACCTAATTGTATGTCGTATGATCAGAGTGGCCAAAACAAAGCAAGGGATGAGACATGACATGTTCTTTTTTGTTTAATGGAGATACTGAGATAATTACCTCACCAAGGTATTTACAGGTACTTACCAATTAAGGTTCTTCGTTCACTGTCCAAGTGCAAATCTGCAACTGGGGCGCATCCACCGAGTCAAAACATCTACCGAAAGGTTAGTCACGGTTGGTCGATTCCTTCGTAGCTTTCACCATTTCACGTGCGCAATCGCCGTTCTGTGTAGGCCGTCCGGCTTTGTGATCGGGGTCACTTCGTGTTTTTGTTCCGCCCTAAGAATCCGGGCCCTCAATACATTTTGAAGGCCGGGAGCCCGCTTCGGTGTCGGGTCGGGACCCCCGTGCACCCGTTCGTCATCCGTGACCCGCTGACCCGCTGAGCAGCTCTGAGCTCCACCCGACCGGCGTAACCGCCACGCCGAGCGTCAGAAAGGGCGGCGCGAGATCGATCTGAAAGCTTTGATTCCTCGGTCGATCGCACTGGTATTGGCCATCGCTATAGAGGTTGGAGGCCATCGCTACGAACGGAGCAAGAAGCGACCCGGTGGAGGCCATCGCGTTTTTGGGTTGGAGGCCATTGCTATAGGTTGAAGCTTGAGGTGTCGATGAGGTGCCGTTCGCCAGTTGGGTCGAACCAGTCGGAGTGCTATGAATGAAGACATGGTGAGGTTGGAGTATGAATATAGAAGCACCCATGCCACTTGGAGACTGTAGCAGGTGGTGACCGCTGTGTGCTGGTATGTGCTGGTAGAGGTAGAAAAAATCACAGGAACTTCCAAATAAACGCATGTTCAAAATGCAATGGCAGTGTTTGACATCTTTTCTATTATATCTGCTTTAGGGCCGTCTTTCCTTGCCACTCGTTCTCTCTCTCTCTCTCTCAGAATCGGCTAGTGGCTCTGTATGAAGGAAGGTTGGCAATTGCAAGCGCCAGTTCCACAGCAATGCTTCGCGCGCAAAGGTGAATTGTTTCTTGATCCTGACATCGCCCGCGGCAACCACCACCGCCACACGCACGTGTGATGGACGTCTGGAAGAGGCGAATGAGGAACCCGACATGACTGACCACTTTGACCGAGCTGTGGACCTCTTCAGCCCTGGGAATGATTTCGAAGGCTCTCCAGGCCGTTTGGCCTCCAGTCGTACCGAACCTCAGAAGGTGGGACTGGGGTGGGTGCCAGGAGGGTTCAAACACCTTCTCAGGAGGTACTTGGGGGTGTAGGCTCTGTACCGTATCGTATTCCGTGTCGGGTCCGTCTCGGCTCGTGATCGGGTCCGTTTCGGCGCGTCAAGGGGTCTTTGTCCTGGTCTATTTCCCAAAGCTTCCAGGGCGGTTGGGGGTCGGAAAACCCAGTTCGGTCTGGAACACCGGCAGTCTCTTCAATGCATTGACAGCCCATTATTGACATGTCCAGCCTGGCCATGGACAAGTCCAGCTGCCGCAGATACCGCTGCCATTGCCGCATCGTAGACCATGAGGCTTTGGGCAGCCGAGCTGCATGGGCGTACCTGCTCGGACCCGAAGTCAACAGCTGAGGAACCTGGTGCTGCCCCGGGTCGCGGGTCGAGCGTACTAAGGATCGATGAGGAGATCGGGGGATTCCGGTCGAGCAGCCGAGCGGACCTGCGGGTCCCCAGGATCTGTGGATGGCGATTTCGGCCACAGAAGACAGATGGCTGTGGGTCATTGCACCACGGGGACCCTAGTTGAATGCCAAACATGAACACTAGTAGACATGGTCAACCACTTGGTCAACCCACCAGAGGGTCCACCAGGGATTGGACCGATGGCCCAAGTTGAATGTTCAACGATGATGTAAGATTATGGCTTCCAAGGTTATAGGAAACTCTTCCAAATGCAAACGCGGTGTTGCTTGCACGTCGACTCCGATTGGAAGTCCTTTTGGTCTTTGCTCAAAGCTAAATCTTCAAGACTTTCTACTGCTTATTAAAGACACCAAAATCACATCCGAAACTCCTGGCTGCGTGCTACGCAACAGCTCCCAGCCGCACGCCCAACGCAAACAGCGAACGCAGCGAACGCAGCGAACGCCACAGGGCGCAGGATGATGTGATCCCGAAAGACGTGCTCCTCCGGGTGGAGTTCAGCACCCTTGGCGTAGAGAAACCACAGGCCCTCTGTGACCTGGCGTGAGGGGTGGAACACATGGGTTGTGATCTTCGGTTCGGTGCCAAAAACAGGGTGTACCATGGTGTACCCCGGCCCACCTTCTCAGAAAGTACTAAGATCATCGAACAAAGCTCCTGTCACCTATCCACACCGATCAACAATACCAACAATGAGGTAGGTGGTCAACGCTGGTGCTTCGACTTTTGCATGGGTCTTGGTATATGTCTTGGTCTACTTGCCAACTCCAGGACTCAACCTGTTGAGATGCTCCAAGTGGATTGAGAGGCTGAAAATAGCCCCTCCGCTGCCGATCCCGTCACCGGACCCTTAAGAACATCATCGAGATCACCCCCCAAAAAATGCGAACTTTACACACAAAGCTTATTTGTTTTCATGATTTCCCAAGCTTAAACATGTTTCTGCCCAAGCAGCAAAGTCGTGACACATGCTGGAGTTCACCAAACTTTGCCGTTGCAGTACATCGGCCACCTGCAACGGCCATGTGCGAAAACGAAAGAAACGTGTCGGTGAACTTGGATGACTTGGAGATGCAACCTGACACATATACAAAGTATAGCCAGCCATAGAACATAAAGCCATAAAGCGCTATATATATAGTACAAGAAGCCAACACTCTCGCAAGTTTCAGCTCAAAACACCGTAATTGGGGGAGGCTTGACCAAATCAAGATGGCGACAGCCGCGACATCGGCTTCTGAAGCTCTTGGATGGCTGCATCTCCTTCCCAGACAAAGCATCCAACTTGACAGTGCCCAAACAGTTTCTATCATCAGATTTCGTGGACGTTCTTGCAAAAAAAAACATGATTCGCCAAAAAAAAATGGCCTCGTTTGGCATGCTTCAACATGTTTCAAACAGATCTTTGGGACCTGCAGAACCTCCAGTTTCTTCAAAGTGACCTTTTTGGAGTCCCCAAGTGACCTTCTACCGGCCTAAGTGACCTCAAACCAGGGGATCAAGTTCCGTCACTTGGAAGAACCAGGTCTGCAAATCAACAACACATCAACAAACCCTACCAATTGAATTGCTTGTGTAGGACCTGAAAAACACTTGCAGCCAACACTTCGGATTTTTTCGATCCTTCAGCCGATCCGGATCGACGCATGACGAACCCGACGGATACTTCCCATTCCCTGCAACAGGGGTGGATGATGATGTTTTGGTTAGTCAAAGCCTTTATCATTTATAGTGGTACTTGTTGATCGGTTGTTACAAGTATTGGGACCCAAACTATAGATTCGCCTTACAAAAAACATGGTGTGAACAACAATTGTTTCGATTATGCTCCGGATCGGGCGTGCCGAAAACAGAGCGCCTCGATGGGTTGGAAGATGTGGTGTTTTGGTGCGAAGGACTTGGCCACCCAATCGACAAACCTCGCGTCCGGCTGTGAGGACATGGGGGTTAGGAGCTGGCTCCAGCAAGCTGAAAGTTGATGACAAACAAATAATAAACAAGTTGGGCAGTCCCAGGGGCTTCAGCCCGCGTCTAACCGCCAGTTAACAGAACTGCTAAGTTTGTTGGATGCAAGCTTCAGCTCACTTTAAGAATATTGGTCAGTGGGTTCACTTGTCCAAGAAAGGCTGCACATTTTAAAAAATGAAGCCACCACCCGGCTTAGCTGTATGCAACTGTGCTCCACAGATATCTGCGCTTAGACACAGCAAGCACTCATATCGGCGTTTCCAGATCAAAGAGGCCCTACTTGAACACGCTCAAGTCTATACTTAGTATAGTTGCTCCTCAGAGCAAGTGCATCAGGCGGTTGGCTGGCCAAAGCAACGCAGGGATAGTCCTGCGCATGTGAGTATCTTGGGCATCAAGAAGAAACAAGTGGGCGCAGGGAAGAAATGAGAGAATGCCCGGGCGGAATGCACCTGGGCATGTCTGCTTGTCAAGATTCAGGCTTCCACATGCCGATCATCCATTAGCAGCAGCCAAAGCTATTAATATGTGGTGTAATGGAGGTCGTATCGGATAAGACTTGAGACCACGGTTGGCCAAGTCGAACATGTCGAACATGCCTGATATCGGGTCAACACCGTACATTCCAGGTCACCATGTAAGTTGACAGCCTTGGGGATCTTCAAGGTCTTTTCAAAGGGTCCCTCCACAGATAAAAACAGCGCGCAAACTCCAGCAAAGAAGCTGGAAACCCTTTAGTTGGCGTCGTGATCTGGACTGGTCTCACAGTTGACTGGTCTCTTCGTGTGGACGACTTCCACTAGAAATGTGTGTGAAGGATACTATACCCCAACTGGTGGAATGGAAAGAGCTTTGCGAAGCACTGGTCACAAATCCCCAACATTCCATGGGTCTCAAATACTTTCCTACATGGACCATTGCCATAGAGTATCTTAAAACCACCTTAATGTGCGACGCATGGACTGTTTATGAATGGCATTTGAGTAGACTTGGAAAGCAATTGGCCTCAATTGGCTGTGGGAACTCGTTAGCTTGGCTTGGTCAGGCTCCTCCACCTGTCCTGACGGAAGCCCATGCAATCAAATTGCAATCAAAAGGAAAAGATCAACTCATCAAACCAAAGTGAATCTGAAAAGACAAATGGTTGAATCCCCTTAACACCCGTCTCAGAATATCCGTCCCACCGGCTCCAAGTCCATGTGGAGGCCCACTCCCTTTGGAAGGGAAGCCCTTCCAGCCTCCAACTTCATGGCAGAACTCAATGACTGACTGGTGCTCAGTAAGGAATGAGAGAATGGATCCTAAGGTATCGAGAGGAGTCATTCCCTCATTCCCGACTGAGTACCAGTCAGATGAACGTACTATCTCTTTTGTGCCAAGTTACGCGTCATATTCAGACCCTCTTCCGTGATTGGATCATGGCCCCTCCCAACGCAAATGATTGAAATAAAAAAGGACCGGATAACCCCACATGATAAGTTTTACAAATTTCAATTGTATGTGAACATCACATGGGAGACGGAGTAGTGAGATGAAAAGTCAAGAACGAAGTGTGAGGAGAGAAGGTATATGAGGCGGTTGTGCTAAGACGTGTAGTATAAGTGATGATGTGGTGGACGAGGATGAGAAGGAGGGGAGGGAGGAGGTGTGTATGAGTGAGTGAGTGAGTGAGTGAGTGAGTGAGTGAGTG